TATTTAAAGTTGACTTTATCAATCTCTTTTATCATATTTTAGGACGAATACTACTATGTCACCAATAAATACTACAGAATTAGAAAGTAAGATTGTTTGTTTTGATTTATTGAAAGAAACTCAGAATATTTGTTGATATTTACAAGACTTTAATAGTGTTGCCCTAGGTTTATTTTAGATGAAATTGTAAAGATGCATTGATACTGTACATATGATCGAACTAACATCATAGTCATCTTTTTATACATTACATAATTCAGAAATTGACCATACAGAATTGAATGAAATTTGGCATTTAATGTACATAGGTAAGTTGAATTATTGATTTCATCATTGCAATGCCAACGTCTTCACTAGCAGGTCAAATAATCTAGAAGGTCTAGTGTTTCGGATTCCAATTCGATTGTTGGCATTTTTAGGGGCTTATTGAGTGATATACAATCGATAGTATTATCATCATACCTTACTCTTATTTTTACAGAAGGAGGTTGGGCAGCATTGTTATTTTTAATAGCAGTTGTATATTTCCCTGCCAAACCACCACTGCCTCCAAGCAGGTCAGCTTCTATACAAAGAGTTGAATACAAACCTGGAATTTTAAAGTTGGTCAAGTAAGTCTTTTCTAATTGAATGATGCATTTCAGACATTACAATATACTTACAAATCCAATTGATGTAATACTTGTTTTATTGCAGATCAATTCAGTTTTGGTATTTAGGTTTAGCATATGGACTTACAACAGGTGTATATGCTGGCTGGGGTACAGTAGTGGATATCATTCTGAGAAATGTTGGGACTTCGGGTGTTTCCCAGGTGAGCTGAAACGATTGTAGTACTGAATACATATTCGGTTTAAACTTTCCATATTACTAGTTCTTTCTAAATAGTTTAGAATTTTATGAATGTTTTAAACAATTCATATCCTTGAGATATTGATTACAACAAGCACAGTCATAAAACATTTTCGGTACATTTTATTTTCTGTGATTTCTGATATTTTCTTGTGGGCTAGAAAGATAGTTATATACATTAAATTGAACAGTTTCTACAATTGCTGTTGGAGACAAATAATAAAGATCCAATAATTCACTCCCTTTTGTCAACACCACTGCAATAAACAAGAGATAACATCTAAAATAATCAATATATTTCAAAGTCCCAGGGATCACATTATACAATACAATACAATACAATACAAAGCAAATGTACTTGAGTCACCCCTTACCCAAAGATCCACAACTCACCTAGCATATTCAAGTATTATCAACGAGCAATTCCTGATGTGATTACGAACCACAACATGTCATATTTTACAGTCTCAATAGGCACTCGCATGTATGTTAACAAACATATTCCATATGAACACATGCAACAGTTACATATGATGTATGAAGTTTTTGTCTTGCAGACTTCGGTAATTTTGCGCATACATTTGACTAGGATTCTTTAACATGTACAAATCATAATGAGTTTTATATCAAATTTGTCCATGCACCAACGTCAATCACTGTCCAGTTATTGTTTGATAACTCAGGTTGTACTTGGTACTGGTTGATCAATGACAATGCTCTGTTGCAGTTCAAACTATTATAATTATTGCTGCTTGCCCGTTGATAACAATTGCAATGACCGCAAATTAAATAATTCTATTGGATTTATTGTCACAATATAATACAATATATTTGCTTATACATGTATTGCGTTTTTCGCTACAGTCTGAAGCCGCCTGGATTGGGTTTTGGGGAAATATTGCTGGTTCAATTGGAGGTTTATTTATAGCAAGGTGCTTAACTATTTATTATATAAAGTAACAAACATTTTTTTTCGAATCCAATTATAACAATATATTATTACCACTGTATTGTACAAGTCTATTATCTGTCTATTGTCTAAAGTACTAAGTGTTTCAACTTTATGTAATTCGTTATTTGGAGAAACATATATGTTAGACCAAGATTCGTTTGACAAATTATATCAATATAGTTCTCGCCAAAAAATACACAAAATGATTTAAACTTGGAATGACATCTGTTATGACAACAAATACACTTTATGATTTTTGATAATGATGCGTCAATTCTTTGTTTGTAGGGTTGTTGATTGTATAGGTGGTCATATAAAAATTATATTATTGATATCATATGGTTTATCAGGGATAACAATTGGATGGTTTTTGTTTCTACGTTATGATATAATAGCTTTTCACACTGGTAAGTACAACATGTGTACTGCATTGTTCAGACACCTGCTTACGTAAATATTATTTCGTCTTACATGCGTAAGTAAGATACACCTAGTCCTACAATATGGATACGTTTATTAACCTTCTTCAAACGCGCTTCAATGGTTTAGGGATAGGGATAGCTTTACATCAACAATAATGTATTAGGGTTGATTACCCTGCACATATGACCAGTGCATTACATAGTATACCAACTTTTCTGTTCACAGTTAGCCTCTATGTCTCTTTAATCTCATTGGGATTTTTACTGACTGCCTCGGTACCATTGATTTACGAATTAACAGTGGAAAACTCGTATCCAATAGCAGAGGGAATCACCACAATAGTACTCACATGGTTGAATAATTTCTTCTGTTTACTATTTCTGGTAATCTTGATGATACCGTCAGTAGGTGAGTATTCTGTTAAAATTAATTGACAAATGACTGATGCGGCACAGTGTGTCCTGGTATGTGAACATCGTAGTTACAAGTGCTCCTCTAGCATGCCCCCTGTGTGATACTTACATAGCCCACTAAAAAAATATCATTTTTACTTCCAGGGACTGCATGGATGAATTGGATGTTGTTATCTTCCGTTGTACTTGCAATACCATTATTAATTCTCTTCAGGGAAAAGTACAATCGTATGATAGTCGACAAATTACCACCAAACCAATCGAGCACAATTCAAAGTTGATAAATCATTTGTTCTAGTGTCAATGTATATAATTGAAACTACATAGCTGTATCATTTATCGAGTATCGAATATTTGTTTTGTTGTGTATAATTCTTTTTAAGATGTTTCAGTTATTTTCATTTGAAGTTATCGTGTCACAACTTAATTTATTCCAAACTATCCCCAGACTATTATTAACTGGTAAACAAACATCGTTAGACGACAGTCTTGCAAGTGGTTTAATCAGATCGTATTAATGTCAAACGTAATAAATGGGATCTTATATTGTATTGCCTGGTGGTTGTTCCTCATGTGCAGCATGGTGTGCTCACATTTGTGGAATACGTCTTGGTTGTATTCTTTTATTTATTGTACCATGTGTTGTAATATCACTTTATGAATATTGTTATATATGTTGTTATTTTATTCTACCATATCCACGTAATCATATTACTATAACTGCCTTTCTCTGAAAGTGAAGGCTGTTACATTGATGGAAAATATTTGCATTGCACGGGAATCTTCAAGTCTTATTATTTGTGAATTTGAATAATGACGATAAAATAAAACATAATAACTTATCAATCATCTGCCATTTGACATTGAAACGATACGATCATATAACAATAACATTGCCAGAAAAACTATAGGAATATTTCATTTACTTTAAGAAAGCAGACAATGTAAGTATTTATGTAAAGTACTAGTACGTAGACATTTGCTTTTGTACTACTCTCTGTATCAATTCAATTAATTTAAGTTTTTAGTAAACCAGTTAAAATATGAAAGACTTGAGTGTTTGATTCCATTGAAGATTAATCAATATAAACACTTACTGTTTGGTTCAAAAGTTGTCGACAACATAGATGTAATTCATGTTGTAATTCACTGATATAATGTTAATATTTTTTTCAGTCTCGCCATAGATAGCGGCAATGATCACACACATCGTAACATAATAGTACATCACAATTCATTGACCAGCAACAATTCGAGCTAATTAGAACTAAGTTGTTTGGCATGCCATTGCGAGATATTAAACACAATCATAGTTATGTCTAGTCTTGTGATTCTTCCTTGCCTATGAATACAAGAAAATATCTATTATACATTTTTTTCAACTTTTTCTTGAATGGTTCAGATTTTTTTTTTTTTTTTGCTTTGTTGGTTTTGGTGGCCCTCGAATGACATTTCTTCTGTTTTAATGAATGAATTAATAATCGAACTAACAAAGGAACGAAAAAACGAACCGACAACACACTGTCGAACGAATGACATTGTGGCAGACGGTTAAAGACCACGACATAAAGATATAATCTGTCATGAGTAGTTAATTATTACTGTAGTATGACACGATATTATATCAAAGGGAAGGAAAAACCTCATCCATATTAGACGTGTGAAACGAAGCCTTTAATTGTTACTATCTAATTTCGCATGTGCGATATTGTTTTTTTCCTGTTTCAGATGCGGGAACGGTCGAATTCTTACGCACCAACATCCTAACCAATATTCGATTTGTGTGTAAACATTTTTTACCCCTAATAATTCGTTTCGTAAATGTTGATTTGAGTGTAAGGCCTCCTTATTGATATTGATAGGGCCAACCACAGAACTCGCACTGGGCAGGAGGTTCTTTCACTGCTAGAATAGGGTAGACAGGCAATGGTACTGGAAATGAATTACACACATTCACCAAAATATCGAGTTAAAGCTCCTGGCTTTAATAAGTGTGCATTGGTGATAACTCGCAGTTCCAGGATGTGGAAATTGATAACAGTAAATGGCTCCTGCAACACAACAACGAAGAGATACAGGAGTCTTGCTTGCAGAGGAACACTGGTATTCTGGAGGGCACCGCTGATAGCAGGATATTGCAGAGCAGTTCATACAAGTCTCGCAGAATGATTACTGAAGCCTTTATCACTTGTCTCACAATATCACAGCATCAACACACATGATACTCAGTTGAAATGGCGAACCATGATTCCATGCACACTTCTATTTGCAGGGTTTAAAGTAATGAAAAATTAACATAAAGTGAAAACATAAAGTAAAAGATACTGACAATGTCAAACAGTCACAACATGTCTAACACCAGTGATATGTGATAGTAACGTATGCTGACAAGGTCATACACATATCACGTATGATATGATTTAAATGACATCCATGTTTTATTCCAATAACTGGAATCTATAAAAATAATAATGCGTTATATCTAAAAAAAAAACAGCTATAAGAATATTTTATCATATTTAATAATTTATTATTCATATATTGTATTGAATAATTTTACAGTAATGTAGTTAATATGTTGTTATTTTGAATGGCCTTTTATACTAATAGTTCATATCATATTCATCGGGGTTGTAAGATATTCATGTTGTACATTTTAATAATTTCAAATGCATAGAAATATAAAAATAGTATTATAGTTAAATTACTACAATTCTTTTCAGTGTTTGGATTATATTATATATTAATTCATATTTGTGTGAGTATGTTCATCCCATATACGAATTCTGGAAAGATAACGTGGTATTTTATACTGACGAAGGCTAGAAAACCATATCGCTCAGTTGTGGGGCAGATAGATGTATACTAGAATATTACGAAAGTATGCACGACGATTATGACGTGCATGTTGAGATAAATCATGAGATTGTCATGAATTTGTTTTTGCGTATCTGTTGACCGACTTAATTAGCTGATTATTAGCTGAATTGCTGTGTTATGTCTGTCATCGTTTAGGTCTATTTGAAGTTTTGGACGGAACTTGGCTCAGTGGTTTGGAACTAATTACAAGATACCGTCGCTATTCTGACATCCGTAGTTATTAATGTAGTGAACGATTAATCAAAAGATATGACGTATTCAGTACTTAGTGTGATTGGCTTTATGATTGAAGGTTACGCCCTAGAGTCTTTTTACTGCATTGTAATTGGTCAGAGTTTTGAAAATGAATAAAGAGAGTTTGAGTTGGTCTTGGCGAATACTCCACGAGACGCAGTCCGAGAGAGTCCAGGGGCGAGCCTTGAGGCAGTCCAGTCTTGGGCTAGTCTTGGGTCAGCCTTGCGAGAGTCTTGGGGACTTTTCCCCAGGGCGCTGTGTCTTTTAGAGTGCTCCAAAAGATCGACTAAGACGAGAGCTGAAACGTATTTCATTGTGTGTGCTTATTTGACTGTAAAGTTAAAGTGACTTTCCCGATCCCGTACCTCAAGGGGACGAGATATAGAGACGAGACGAGATTCCCCCCGACAGTGTGGAGACCCCGAGAGGAGAAGAGAATTTCCCCCTGATAAGATAAACAAAATCGAAACATGTGCTGGGAAAGTATCACTGTACCTGTATGTGCATCTTTTGCTTACACTTTTAGTAAAAGTATAGAGAATAATTAAACATACTCATTAAAAGGGTTTATAGGAAGTTCTCTTTCGACAGTTTTAGAACGTCGAAATAACAGTGCGTACATTATAATAGAAAAATATTAATATATAATTCTGTATACAGTACAAATAATTGTATATATATATAATATATATATATAATATATATACTGGTGTTCAGAAAGTAACATTTCACAGTATTCACAATATTTTGAACACTATCACGTCTTTGGAAAGCAACAGCGTACAATGCTAATATTTTTTTGCAACGATTTGTTGTCTGTTATCAGTAGAAGAACAAATTTGTTCGCAATACAAAATAAGGAATATTTTTCTCCTATTTTTATTTTCTATCTTAAGATCAAATTAAATTTAAGTTTTATTAATGATAATACAATATCAGTAAACAATAACTTATCAACCCAGAACATTACTTCTCATGTGAATTATAACTAGAATATCATATGGTGTGTATTAGATAAATAAAATTAGCATATATAAATCTCAATGACAGTGTTGGATGTTCATTTCCATTATAAAGTAGATATGATGATGAACCTCTTACTGCTCGTCGCGTTGGTTCCATCCGCTGTTCTATGTCAGGACTTAGAGGCGAGGTCCTTGGGATTCTTCACAGTAGAGTACCCAGCTTATACCAGCGTCATTGACCTGGCCGACACCCCTGGCTTGTATGACCTATTTGTGACAACCTTCGAAACACAACCAAATACCACCGATGAGGTGTATGCTGTACGCGACTTGGCAGCGAGACTAGACAATGTGTCGGCCATAACCACAGAGTTGGTCAGTGACGAGATTCTCTATCCAAACGAGATTAACCTCGTTCCAGGTAGATATATTCTTCAGACTTATGTTACATAGAAGTTTGGTTACCGGGTGAGTAGCAAACCAACAGACTCTGACAGAGATAACTAGTGAATAGTGTTGCTCCTTTTATTTTCCATTCTAAATATATGTAAATTTACATATAAAAAATATCAATAACATCTCGCGTTACTAAAATTAAACATCGAATATTATACTGAAAACACCACATGTTAGGGTCGTTGCCACGTCCACAAGAAGGGAGACAAATAATTGTATTGTCAGAAACACATTAGACAAGTCCAAAGCTTGATAAAAAAAGATAATGATACGCAAGTGGCATGTCATTGCATGACACGAAGGTCACATGATTGGTCATTGCAAGATATATATTTCTAGAATACTTGCGACTTTGAAAGAAATACTGGGACCCTTAGATACTTGCGACTTGCAAATGGTGTTTAACATTATCCACAGCATGTTACGGCAATTCATGGAGATTGCAAAGGCGTCTTAATATTTCACTCTAGTACTATTGCTCAAAATTGCGCAAAATATTTAAAAAAACCTTTACCAGTGTTCCATAATTAGGAAAATAACTGTATGTACGCATGCGCAGTTTGAAATGGAACAATTTTGAACGCAATAAAATAAAGCGTAGAACTCATACCAGCAAGAAACTAGTGTTGTTAGTTGAATTGTTTAGCAAAAGACATAATTTAAGGTCTGTATATTTCTACGTGATGTTTCTATATTTCGTTCTGTAAAGAATTCGCTGAAATTATTGGGCTAGTATGCACCCTCAC